CTCTGCCCAGCTTGGCAAACTGGGAGAGCTCCTGATGTTTCAGTCCTAAACCTTCCTTGGGAAAATCTGGACAAGTTGTTGCTCTGCAGGATTCACAGAGAGCAACCAACTTCCTCCTATCTGTGGTCTTTGTTGTGCTTGAATTCAGAGCCTCAACAAGCTCAGCCTACCAAGGCATGGCATGCTTAGACCCCTGCAGAAGCTATATGACTCAGAAGCCCATATCCAATGGTTCTCAAAAGGGGCCATCTGCCTGAGGCAATCCCTGCAGCACAGTACAGAGCTTCACAGCGCAAGGGGGAAAAAGTGGGTCTTCACATTGTCACAGAAATGTCTGGGCTCAAAGTTTAATCCTTATCCAGTTCCAACCCCCTGCCATGGCCAGGGATACCTTCCACTGGACCAGGTTGCTCAAAGCCCCATACAACCTAGCACTGGAGGCTTTAAGGAAGCAGGATTACACAGCACAATGTGCAACATTTGAGGAAGAGAAATAGACTGTGCCTTAGTCACCATGAGCAGGACAATGCTGGTTGCAGCCAGAGGGTCCTGCTGAGCTTGTGGAGCCAACACAAGTGCTGCTCTGTCTGCAACACTTCCAGGTCAAAAATGTGGACTTCCAGACATTCATCATACAAAGGATCCAGCATCACATAGGCTGGGATGATGAGGCACTGATCACTGGCTTGCTGGACTTGCAGTCTATGGGTTTCCAAAGCTGCCCCTTTCACCTTGCAGCTGCAAGAGATCTCAGACTGGTTTGGATTGGAAGGGACCCTAAAGCTCATCCAGTTCCAACCCCCTGCCATGGGCAGGGACACTTTCCACTAGACCAGATTGATCCAAGCCCCATCAAACCTAGCCTTGAACACTGCCAGGGATGGGGCAGCCACAGCTTCTCTGGGCACCCTTCTGCCTAAGAGCTCACCTCAATCTCCCCTCTGTCAGGTTAAAGCCATTCCCCCTTGTCCTGTCCCTACAGGCCCTTGTCCAAAGCCCCTCTCCAGGTTTCTTGCAGCCCCTTTAGGCACTGGAGCTGCTCTAAGGTCTCCCCTTAAGGAGCCTTCTCTTCTCCAGGCTGAACCAGCCCAGCTCTCTCAGCCTGGCTCCAGAGCAGAGCTGCTCCAGCCCTCGCAGCATCTCTGTGGCCTCCTCTGGACTCTGTCCAACAGCTCCACGTCCCTCTTGTGTTGTTGCCCCAGAGCTGGATGCAGAACTGCAGGGGGCGGTCTCCCCAGAGTGCAGCAGAGGGGGAGAATCCCCTCCCTCAACCTGCTGCTCACACTGTAGGGATGCAGCCCCACTTATCTGGTGGATGACAAGTCCAGTCAGAAACTACTTAGAAACCCTGCCAGTGAAAGGCATGTGCAGGGTACAGCTCTTCATTTTGGAGGACAATTTAACCACAACAAGGGAGGTGTCTCACCAAGCAAGCAATGAACTGAAGCTGTGTTGGCAGCTGGGTAGTGTGCACTCAGGTTCAGAGACAGCATAGACAGTTCTAGCACCTAATCTACATTTGCACAAGAGAAACCAGCACCAGCTCAGCAGGCCAGGAGCTGAACACCCTCAAATTCTGCCCCGCTCCAGTCTGGATCCAGTTTCTCTGAGCAGCCCTTTATGTGATTTGAAAACAGTGTCAGAAGCCGACTCAGGCATCAATTGAGCTACAACTCTCTGGGCTGCTGGGGCAGAGGCTCTGCCACCCACAGCAGTGCTTCGGGAAATAGAGAGTGAGGCAGGTCTGGAGACACCAACAGGGTGCCTTAAAAGGACTTAAAAGAACTCCTCTAGGTTTGCTGCCAGAAGCAGTGTTGTACCATCAGCTAGTTACAAAACCTCTCCCAGCGAAGCAAGGATCTGTGTCATAGAATCATAGAATGGTTAGGATTGGAAAGGACCTGTAGTGGTTTAAACAAAGTCAAGATAAATCACGCAGTCGCTCTCTCACTCCCCCTCCCCCCCCCCCCCCCCTTTTTTTGCCCTACCCCTGCTCCCGGAGGGATGGGAAGGAGAATCAAAAGAATGCAACTCCCCTGGGTTGAGGTAAGAACAGTCCAGTAACTAAGGTATAACACAAATCACTACTGCTACCACCAATAATAATAATGATAAAGGAAATAGCAAGGGAAGAGAATACACCACCTCACCACCAACCGACTGATAACTTGCCCCCCCCAGCCCGATCAAGCACCGACCGATACTTCCTCCAACCCTGCAGTCCCCCAGCCCTTCCGGCTAACTCCCAGTTACATCCTGGGCATGACGTGCTGTGGTATGGAATACCTCTTTGGTCAGTTTGGGTCAGGTGTCCTGGCTCTGCTTTCCTCACAGCTTCCCCTCCTCCCTGGCAGAGCATGAGGCTCACAAAGTCCTTGGCCAGACTAAACATTTGAGCAGTAACTAAAAACATCAGTGCTATCAGCACCGTTCCCAGGGTGAAAGTCAAAAACACAGTGCTGCACCAGCTACCAAGAAAGAGAAAAAATGACTGATACTGCTGAACCCAGAACAGGACTTGAAGATCATCCAGTTCCAACTCCCCTGCCAGGGGCAGGGACACCTCACACTAAACCACGTCACCCAAGGCTCTGTCCAACCTGGTCTTGAACACTGCCAGGGATGGAACATTCACAACCTCCCTGGGCAACCCATTCCAGTGCCTCACCACCCTAACAGGAAAGAATTTCCTCCTTATATCCAATCTAAACTTCCCCTGTTTAAGTTTTAACCCATTACTTCTTGTCCTGTCACTACAGTCCCTAATGAAGAGTCCCTCCCCAGCATCCCTATAGGCCCCCTTCAGATACTAGAAGGCTGCTATGAGGTCTCCACGCAGCCTTCTCTTCTCCAGGCTGAACAGCCCCAACTTCCTCAGCCTGTCTTCATACGGGAGGTGCTCCAGTTCCCTGATCATCCTCGTGGCCCTTCTCTGGACTTGTTCCAACAGCTCCATGTCCTTTTTATGTTGAGGACACCAGAACTGCACACAATACTCCAGGTGAGGTCTCGTGAGAGCAGAGCAGAGGGGCAGGATCACCTCCTTTGACCTGATGCAGCCCAGGATACGGTTGGTTTCTGAGCTGTGAGTGCACACTGAAGCCAGCTCATGTTCATTTTCTCATCACCCGACACCCCCAAGTCCTTCTCTGCAAGGCTGCTCTGAATCACTTCTCTTCATGTTTACAGACAAGACTGTGCAGAGAAAACCCACAGCTGGTGAGCATCCTGCTCTCTTCATGCCAGAGCACCGTGGCAGGATGGAGGACAGTCTTCACCTTCCAGGAGTTAAGGCTCCTCCAGCTTCATTATGAACCACCTGTGGCACTTCACCCATTAACTCTTTCATCACCAAGCCCTACAGGGATGATAAAGAGTTCTCACTACTTGGTGCAGTCATTGCAATTATCAAATAGAATGAAACAGGTTGGAAAAGACCTTTAGGATCATCAGGTCCAACTATTCCCCAGCACTGCAAAGGCCACCACTAAACCATGTCACTGAAGGCCTTGTCTACACGTTTTTCCAGTCAAGTACTTTCAAGTAGCTGTCACGTTCAGAACCAGCAGCCTGTGCTTGCTTCTCAACTCCTCCAGATCCCACAGGCACATTTTCCTGCTACTGAGCGCCTTGGTTTGTTAAGTTTAAGGTCTTTAAGGCAGTTGTAAAATTGTGGTTTATGGTCTTTTATGCTAAGCTCACTTTTGGAATTTAAGTGAAGAAAGCCTATTCATACCCTCTTTTCATCTCCCATCTCTTCCAGTACTCAACCTGGTAATGTTTAATTTGTGGGACTTTTGGCTTGGAGGAAGGGCTGGTTGGGTAGTGGAGGGAGGCAGAAGCTGAGGAGTGGGCCAAGGGGAACCTCTAGTGGCCACGGGCTCCGCAGCGAACCTGCAACCCGGCAGCGCAGAGCTGGCTCGAAACCAGGCTGAGAATCACTCCCACAGGCTCAGCAATTCCCCTTTTCTACATGGCATCGCCTTAGAGCACAGCTTTGCTCTTCGGAACAGCCATGTACAAGACCACAGGAGGCCCCGCGTTGTTTATCAGGGGTATTTGTGGTGGCTTCACTTTGCTTTTGCCTGGCAGGATTTTCACTCAAACCCCAAGAATTTCACCTTTAATTTCCTTGATCATTGTGTGCGGGCATGTTCCAAAGGCTCAGAATATCCTGATATCCTCCACCTACAACCAATACATTCCTGTAGTTCCCACAAGTCTTACATTTAAGTTTCAGGCATTGGCAAAGCCTTGGCTTAAGTAACAGAAACAACGGTTGAAACCTGCACTGTTAAACAGAAACACTCATTTGAACCATGGCAAAAAGCATTCATGCTGTTCTCAGGGCCACAGGCAAGGAAGAGATCCAGGTTAAAACCAAGCCGCTCCCTGGCGGAGCTGCCTCCTGCAGCCACAGTCCCATGGGTGCTGGCACAAGTGCCAGGGGCTGCAGGTGAGTCAAAAGCATTTAGATGCAGAGGATGCAATGGTACTGCTGGTTTGATCTACAATTTACCAGTGCTGGTGGTCAGAAGACACCTCTAAGCTCCATTTAACAGAATCATAGAATCCAGACTGGTTTGGGTTGGAAGGGACCTTAAAGCTCATCCAGTTTCAAACCCCTGCCACAGGCAGGCTGCCACTAGACCAGGTTGCTCCAAGCCCCGTCCAATCTGACCTTAAGCACTGCTAGGGATGGGAATTTTCAGCTCAGGCTAGGCTGGGGCTAAACATACTCTCTGGTTCTACCAAAGGGATAAAAGCTTATTTCAGAATCTACCAATCTAAGATTTTTTACAGTCAGTTTGGTATGTCATCTTGGTGGAATCCTTGTGAGGTCTCTTCAAATGGTCAGAAACTGTGTAATTGCTTCACTGCAGTGAGGAGTTCATGTGAGAGAACATATGTCCCAAGGTTTATGTCTCAGTCTCAACATGCCTTTTGCTATGAGGTCTACAGGAAGCAAAATAACAGAATGAAGGAGAGTCAGCAGCCTCCACAGTCAAACATGTTTTAATACAATCCAAGATTCTGCACAATGACAAAAATACCATTGATATATGGCAGTGATTCTAATGATAGGGTGGAAAACCAATTCAGCAGCATAACTCCACTCATGTGAAGACAAACATCATCCCAAATACTGCACACACTCATCTCAACTATAAAAAGCCTGAAATTCAAGACAGGCAGAAAGGCATTCCACCACTAACAGCCAGGTGCCCAGGCCTCTGATCTACCCAACAATTGCACTCTGGATGTGGACTGCAGGAGCCAGCCCTTGGTCCTCACTGGACATGGCACCACTGTCTATGGTGGACAAAGGAGATCACTCCCCATCAAAAATGAGGATGGATTTTCAAGGACAAAGTACACAATTTCAATGCACATGCACCCCAGCAGTTGATCAATCTGCAAGTGCCACCCGGCCATGGCTAAACACAGATATCATTGACATGAAGTTGAACTCTAAAGAGCGGTGCTCCTGCCCCTCCAATTTGTGTTCAGTTATCTCCACACAGAGGAGATGGGAGTTTCCCCCTTGCCTTTGTTAACTGGCTTCTATTAACAGGAGGCTGATTAATGCTTCATCTGAACAGGGAGCATGTCAAAGCGCATGATCCTAGGAATGACAGTTTGGGTGCAGTGATGAAGTCTGTCCAGCCTGGCTGAGAGCTGGGGAAAGTTCTGTGGCCTGGAAACAGTTCAGATGCCATTTACAATAAATAAGAGTTTCTGATGTCAGGAATTTCTGGCCTTTTCTGCCTTCAAGACAACATTACAAAGCAAAAATGGCTTATCAGGAAAGCAAATGCCCTCCTGCAGGACTGCAGAAGCTGATGCTGTCACTGCTGCCAGCAGGACGACAAACAAGGCCTACAAACAGTTGTTCCCAGTTACAAGGTGACTAAAGCACTTCACTGGGGTACTTGAGATAACATGAACTTTCTGACAAGGTGCCCATTGTAGTCGTTCTCTTAAAAACCAGTTTGTGGTCTCCACTTCAAGAGTTCTGCATGTTACACAAATGCTTCGCTTAATTACCTGAACTTTGATATGGACTTGGTCAGTGACAACTGTTAACTACAGACAGAAAACAACTGGAAAGAAACCGTTGTTCCTCTAAGATGTTTCACAACCATAATGGGGATTTGCACAAGAAAAGGAATATCTATTTTCACTGAACAGAAGGACTGTGTGAAGGTGACACAGCTACAATTCCTCTTGCTAAAGGAATGAATTAAACCACACGTACTAGTGCTGCAGGATGCCTGAAGCAGGGGAGCGCTGTATCAAATTAAACCATCCCTGTGATGTGTGCCTCACGACTGATATGAATCCTGATATGAATCCCAACAGGCAGCAGGAGGAGGATCACCTTTTACTCCCTGCTGGGATTTGCAGACTCATAGAGGTCACTGCTCATTGGGCTCAGTGTGTGCCCCAAGCACACAGAGAGACACAGTGCCGTAATGTCTTTAGAATGAAGATTTACCTTTAAGATCCATGTGAAAGACTGGTTGGCTGTCTAGATAAGCTGCCAAAAAGGGCTCTTTTGTGGACCTTTGCTGCTTGGGGGTCAGAAGTTAGACTGATCTGGCACAAGGGAAGCTGAGCTGAAGCCTGTAACTGACTTTTGAAAGACATCCAGGCCTAAGCTGCCCAAACCTCACTTATTTTCAGTGCTGCTCCTTGGATCCTCACTGAATTTCTGAGCAACCAGGAGTTATTTCTGATTTTAAACACTCAAACTCCTGTGCACAGGGAAAGGAACAGTGTTTCTCATATATGGCCTAAGGCATGGTATAGCATTCAGGTTTCATTGACATAGCTGCATCCCACAGAGGTGCGGAGAGAAAACCCCATCATCACTGCCAGCTGCAGGAGAGATATTCCATATAAAACCTATTCATTCTGAGTGCAACAAGTTCTGCCAACAGTTTGAAGAAATCTGACAATTTAACAAGCTGAAAATTAATGCTATTGTGTTTGGGGTTTTCAAGGGCACCTCAGACAAGCTCCACAGAGAGCAGATACAGACAAACCTGAAATCCCACCTCCATGGAAGAGACTCCACTAAATGGGCTACATTCTTTGTTCGATTCCTTGTGTCTGAGGAAGCTTGTGGGGTCCTAGCAAGTGCAAAGTGATACAACTAGCTTTGAAAATATAACAGAAGGCAACATCAGCCAGTATTTGTAAAAAGCCAGATATGACTGTTTGAGTTCTTCCCCATCAAAATACATTAAATATAACTGAATTATACCTTGCAGATCAGTTAAACTTATGGTAAACCTCTGAAAAGACAGCTGGACAGAACTCACCCAGTGGGAAAGAAAGAGAGTCTTGTGTGCTGACTCAAACAGGGTGAAATAATCTAACTGCAAATATATGTGGTGCAAAAGACATCTTAAACTGTTACACGTGCAGTTTAATATTTCAAAGAGCTATTTTGACAAAAGTTTAAAATGGCACCTGAAGAAGAAAATCACATTTTTTTTCCAAGTTTGTTCAAGTGCTTCACAAAAGGCAACACTTTACCAAGACACTTGGTGTTTTCACTGATGGAAAGCTAAACAAGGCAACACAAGACTCACACCACCCTTCAATGCTGACATGACCTTGTCCAGCCTCACTGAGATTTTATCACTATAAATGAACTTCATGTAATCACATTTCCTCCACTCTAAAACAATTTTTTAGGCTGAACTGCTGAAAAAAAAAATAAAATTCTTCCTTCCCTTCATTTTACCTGTGGAGGTACTAGCATATTACCCACTGAAGCTTTGAGAGCATCCTGCTGTATGCTCTGGACTACCATCAATGTTTACAGACTTGTGCTTTGCATGGGAGTTGTTCTACAGCAGATACCACAAGTTTCAAATGAAGACACAGGGCTGTTACCTACAGACATCCCATGCCCAAGGCATGCTTGAGAGAGCTGTATGAAGTCTCAGGAATGAGCAAAAGCCTCTTTGCATCATCCAAAACCTGCCAGAATATTTCTGCCAAAAGCGTTATCTTTTTCAGGATACCATCACTGGGAAGACTCATGATACAGAGAAACAGTGTCACCTACAGTTCTCCTGGGAAGCTTGTCCACTCCCAGAAAAACATTATACAGAGGATTTCCCTTCCACCTCCCTTCATTTACTTGTGGGGAGAGCATTAAGCTTCCGTACCACAATGTCTAATTCCCCAAACATGTAGGGATATCAGATTTAAAGCTCCATCTCAGCTTCCAGGAACAATGAAGAAAGGGAACTTTCTGAGCACTGCTCTGGCTTTCAGCTGCCTGGCACATTAGTCAGTCTGAAGTCACTATACTGATATGGAATAGGAATGTAAACAAAATCAAGCATTAGAGATATGGTTGTCCAGTCTGGATGCCTTTCTCAGAAGCAGATTTCTCAAACAGATGCAACTAGAATGTGTCAAGGTTTCAGCTACAAGGAGAAGGACAATGAGCAATCACAGTTCTTGTGGGAATTAAGGGCTTTCAGAACTAACAAAATGCTGCTGATTTGTCTGCACAATCCCTACTTATAGTAGGGCAGTGATTTCATGAGCTACTGTTCTACATCAAATCTGAGGTCATCAATGTTCCCTGTGAGCAGACGTATTTGATAGTACTGGCTCAAGCCAGGTACTGGTGCTAGTGGCACACAGCTCTACAGTACACCTCAGCCATCTCTGGGCCCCTGAGGAGTTGCATCAAACTACAAACCCACCCTTTTGATAAGGACTTGTATCCATTTAGGATGGCTTAAAATCATTACTTTTTCATTTTATCTATTAACAGGACCTGAATCCAGATCTTTAGAGGTAAAGAGCAAAGGAGTTAATCAATCAGATACATTACTTCACCTTGGCCTGTCTTAAACAAAATAAGAGTAAACAACTAAGCCCTGCACTCAAGTGCACCACCTAGTAATGGCTAAAAACCACTGACCCCAGCAGCAATTGTGTTCTAACTTGGCTCCTGCATTAGAATTTGCCTTGGGAATCCTAGATCAACTGAAAATCTAGTTGATTAATGACAGTCAACCATTCATGGTGTCCAAGAAGCCCCACACCTCCAAGAGAGAGATCTGGAAGCTTTCAGAGCACAGTGGCTGATTATTGAAGGTATTGCAGTGGCTGGTTCTTCCGTGGTTCAGATCTGCATCGAGGTAGAGAGCCTGGCCATCACCACCTCCTGCAAGAAGACAAAGACAAGTTTAAGTGGGTCTCTGCACTTCTTAGCATGCAAAACTGCTGTAACAAAAAAAGACTTAAGTGCTTTTCTCACGGGAACAGCTGGAAGCCCTAAGTGATGTTTGCTTGCCATCTCAGTTGTAACAGGTATGATACAACGCACAGCTTTTATGCAATGCACACTATCAGAACTGGATTTTTTTTTTTAATATAAAAAACCCCACCAGTAATGCAAGTCAATAAGAACAAGACTCAAATGCCTGTGTTTCAGATTTGGTTTTCAGTGCTGGAGGATGCTGGAAGTTACCAAGTGTGCATTTTCCCTCCAGTAAAGAAAAAAAATAAAATTGTGTTGGCAGTCAAAAATCAAAGGTGGGAGAAGAACAAAATCAGTAAGTGACAGCACAGGCTTAGTCTTATAAATTACTGCAAACTATGTCAGAGTTGATTAGAGCACGTGCTGCTAAATGCGAAATTAGCCAACACTTGATGTTAGAGATAAGCAGGCTAGGTGCTGTATCAACAAGTGTCAGGTAAAGGTTTTTGGGAAAAGGACAAGTATGATTTTATACCCATTCCTTGTAAATCCCATTTAGGTGACCACATTACTAAGCAGGCTTTTGCCAAAGTCAGCAGCACCACAGATCCAATAAAGTCCCAGAAGTATGAACATGTTCTATAGTTTACCCCATGTTTCAAAAGCTTCAGGGCAAAGTAAGTCCCCCTTCAAAAACTTTTCCTCATCATGAATTAGGCAGTGTGAAGGAACGGCTCTGCCCAAAGCTATGACTTACTATCTTCCTCTAAAGTTCCTGATATGCAAGTTTTCCCACAGAAAATTTCTGTTGGGTAATAATACCAGGTTTTGGCCACTTTTATCTCTAACTGTAGTGATCTGAATTACCCATATGGCAAATACAGGTGAACTCTTGTATCTAAGGGGAAGAGCTGATAGGACATATGCTCAAATTCTTACACTGACTTACCTATAATGATGCATTCGCTGCTGCCAGCCATGAACATGGAGGCTGTTTTGGAAGGCAACTTGAAGTGCCGAGCTGATAAGAAAGGAGAAAGGTGATCTGAGGAGTGTGATGGGGCACTGCTGGAAGAGAGGGTGCTGGAACTTGGTGAGGTGTGATTTTCTGCCTCTGATCCAGGCTTGGCCAGTTCTGGGTGTTTTATGATCACCCATTCGTAACGTTCAACTTCTGGCTTCAGCTGCATAGGGGCAGAGAAAAGCAACACTTTAGTTAGTGCACATGCACTACACAGAGAGCTCTGCACAGCAAAGGACACTCAAGCCCCTCAGACTCCACTCACACAATTAGTAGTAAAGATTGGATCAAACTGGGATCCATCATCCCTAGCAGCGTTCAAGGCCAGGCTGGATGGAGCTTGGAGCAAGCTGGTGTAGTGGAAGCTGTCTCTGCCTGTGGCAGGGGGTTGGAACTAGAGGAGCTCTAACATCCCTTCCAACCCAAACCAGCCTGGGATTCCATGAAACTGCCTTTTAGGGCACATTTTTTTTCTTTCTTTATACCTTTGCTTTTTAGGTGACTGAAGGCCTGAGGCAGTGTTTTCTGAGCTACCTTATTACATCTTTTAAGAAACTATTCTGTGCAAGGAAAGAAAATGGGTTATAGAAACCTGAGAGCATTTTCTACTTCATGTTAAGAGTTCAGGAGACTTTGTAAACTAGGAGGTCATAGAATTCAGCCTCTTCAAGTGGAAGGGAAGTAAGAGTTACTCACACCATTGCAGCAGCTCTGCTGTGCTACTGGGTAATTCGATGAAATTTTACTCACCCTAAACACAAAGCATTCCCCAGTTCCAAAGAAACTCAGCGTGCTCCCTCCTCGCCTGCGCTCGTTCCAGTCGGTGGACAGATAAGCACCACAGACCTAGCACAAACAGCTTGGTCATGAAGCTTTTACTGAAGGAGAAAGTCTGGTAAACCAACTGATGCAAATGTTTTAGAGTCTAGAACTGAAGGTTTGATTTTAGCTTGATTTTCAAACCCTTTGTATTAGTGGATTAAGGCAGCACAAGCACTTATATCAAGATAGATTTAAACTGCTTTAATCCACTGGTGGATTAACCCTTAAATCCCATGAGTTTTATAAATTATTTCATATCTCTGAGGCCTTAAAGGAGAAATGATCTATCATAATGCCAGGTACCAAACCACAAATGACTCCAAACTTGTAAGGCCTGACTTTACTTCCTCAGTTTGGCATCCAAAGCAACAGTATTGTCACAAGTTACAGTATGAGCTGTTCTGCCTGAATATTTTCTGGTCATAAAAAGCAGTCCTGGCTTTCTCCAAACTGGAGGTTATAACCAGCTTAGCTAAGCCAATGCTGAACTAGCTCAGATATTTAAAGCAGCCTATTCAGACAGCATGGGACTCACTAGTTTCCAATAAAGAAAAACAGCTTTGGAGGGCTGAGTTTTTCTGTGGAGTCTTTTGTTTGCACTACAAGGATTTCTTGCTACCAGCAATAAGCATAATTGTCAAGTAGGCACAGACCAAACAAGGAAGCTCTGAAAATGGGATGAAAGCAACCCTGCAGCAGAATTCTTTTACAGAAACACTGGTTAAACAGAATTGTTCTCAAGTACATTTGCTGTTTAGCCCCCAACAGCTTTACAAGCAGAGCTCCTAGGACAGAATTACTGAAGAGCAGGTTTTTCATAGAGGAAAATAGTGTGCATAAACAAAAACGATGCCCAGAACTCTATTTGATCCGATATGCCTGAGCATGTGAGAGCTGGAAAATGTGACGGCAAATTTTATTCTTTCTAAAAATGTAACTATAGGCACATGAATAAAGGATGAATGTAATCCTTTGCAAAAAAACAAAACTCGTATGCAAACCCACTGTATTTTTCTTCTACATTTTTTTTTTTGTTTGTTTGGAATATCTTTGGGTTTTTTAGGGGTAAGAAATGAACCATACTATAAAACCCAGCACCACTTACAAGGCTGGACTTCTGATAGGCTCCAGGACAAGAAGCAAAGCCATAAATAAATATTTTCCCTCTTTGTAAGCCACTGGCATGTCAGTGCAGGCCTGGGATGACCAGAAACCACGCATGGGCCTAAGAAACAGTCTGGAGCATTAGCATTAGGTAGATGCAAGTAAGACTAGAAATGGGCTTGTTTCACGGGCAGTGATCCCGCAGGAATATAAGCAGAAATATAAGCCCAGAGGCTGCAATAAGAGCCTGAGTTTATACACAGAACACGTGGAACTCATGCACAGCAGTGCAGACAACCAATGCTCATTACAAGAAGCCCTGGGCACCTCTTGGGAGGCTCTGGGAAGCTTTCTTGATTGATGCATTTTTGTTTTCTAAAGAAGCATGAGATGAAGCTAATGTTTTACATTGTGCTGTCCAACACTGTCATGCACACCAGAGCAGAGAACCAACCCTCATTAGATAAAGCACCTATCTGCACTCCTTCTCAGGTTCTCAGAGCTTTTGTGGTTTATTTTGTTTTTTCAAACAAGAGTAAGATGAAGCTAAAGCTTTTGTTTCCATATTATGTAGTCCAGCATTATTTATACTATTTAAATGTGGCTACTTTTTCTCCTCATATCCTAGAGAAAATGAAAACATCTTCTATGAATCATGAGTTAACACAATTCCTCAGCCTCTCCCTCTGAATCTGCAATTAAGTGTCTGTCCAAGAGCAAAATGAGTTACTCTAGTCCCTCACCCCACACTGCTTACAAGAAAAAGAATAGCTGACCAAGACCTTTTTACAAGATTTACCCATGAAAACATAGTCCCATAATCAATAAATGGAACCATTTAAAACAGGTATTGTTAAAAAATACCCCAAAACAACCCCCTCCCTTCCCCAAGAAATTTCAGGTCTCTTGCTTCTTCATTTTAACAGTGGTGTGTTGCAATACAGCATTAAATAAGTGCCTAATCCCTAAATGAACCAGTTGTCTTTTACCTCACTTACCTCTTTTGCTGTGGTCTTGATGAGGAGAAGAGTTGGTTCATGTCCCTCGCTGTGAGAATAGAATCTGAAGTGCAGAGTTCATGAACATGAGCACTCAACTACCACCACCTGCAGTTCTGCTCTTCATGTCATGCACTTCCTCCCCCTCCAGCTGATGAAATGGCAGGAAAGCCATCTGAAAACTAAGCATGTTCCTGCAAATGCTTTCTACAGTCCAGTGTAAATATGAGTTGAGTGTAAACAAGCATTACCAAGTAGTTCTCCTCTACTCTGTTCTCTGTACAGTTGTTTATGCCTCTGGCAGAATAACTTGAAGACTATCTATCACAAGGGGCATTTCACAGCATTTTGAGGGAAGATAACCTAAAGGAAGCTGTGTCCTGAGGACTGATGGCTGTGTTTGAAGAGCTTTCGGCTTTCATAGAAAATAATTATGATGTGTTCTCTTTGCTTGCTTCTGCTTTTTCTCATGGGCACATGGGGATGGCACAGCAGACCACTCCCCACCTCAGCACCTCGGCTGCAAACGCCAAAGGACCTATAGGATTATAGCCTTTTGTGTCAAGTGCAAGAACTCATACCTAGTTTATCCCACCTCAAAAGTAACAACAATCCGATTCATTGGCAGAGGAATTGCCAGTTTCCATTTCCCTTATTCTCTGGATCAGTTGTGGTTATCTATCAAAAGAACCTGCTGAGCAGCCACTGAATTAAACCATTCATACCCAGTGGAGAATGAACCAGTCTCAGACCAGCACATTCTGGGAACCGATGGAGGTTCGACTCTTCCAATTGGTCCTGGACAGTTTAAAATGAATTGCTATGGCCTGGCATATGAAGTACCCTGGTCAAATGCTGTAGCCAATAGGAGGAATTTGTCACATTTACTTTCCATCTCAAATAATATTCACTAGATTGAGTTCTGATGAGGCATGGCCTTTTTGTAAATCTGGTGAACAGTTCCCGTTGCTCTTTTTTGCCCTCCAGGAGAGAAGAATAGGGAAGGGTTTTCCTTACCTGCTCAGACTACAGCCATGTTCCGAAGTGGTGAAAAGCAAGAGGGGCTGGCAAAGTGCAAACCGCTCTGGGATCCATGACCAGATATCTCGCATCTCTTTCACGCTGACAATTCCAGACTTGAAGTTCTCAGCATGAACTGCTAAATGCACATTCTGCCTGAGAAATACAACACAAAACATTGAGAAGCAATGATTTATCAACAAAACAAGTATCAAACTACTGACCAGTAACACAAAAAGACATGTTACACTAAATAAATGCTACACAAACACTAAAACGTTCACTACAATGAACACTGGAAGACCCTAGTAGATATGCTGTTGTTCAGTGCTCCAGCCCATGGGATTAGAAGGCCATAACCTAGTGAAGATAATAAACTACTGCAGTTCAACATAATCCTCAAGTGACAGTGATTTGGCACTAATGAAATATATGGAGCATTTCCTCTGCACGACAGATGTGGCTTGCACCTTTTATATAGAGGACATAGAATCCCAGACTTGTTTGGGTTGGAAGGGACCTTAAAGCTCATCCAGTTCCAACCCCCTGCCATGGGCAGGGACACCTTTCATTAGACCAGGTTGCTCCAAGCCCCATCCAAGCTGGCCTTAAACACTGCCAGGGATGAGGCCGCCACAGCTTCTATGGGCACCCTCACAGGGAAGAACTTCTGCCTAAAATCTAATCACAATCTCCCCTCTGTCAGGCTAAAGCCATTCCCCCTTGTCCTGTCCCTACAGGCCCTTATAAGATGTTCACAGTGGTAAAAAAGTAAACCCCGCCCTGCCCTGTGGGGTCCAATACAATTGTAAGAACTGTTTCATGGCTTTTAAACTTTCATTATTACTTGAAGGTAATAATACTACTAATCACCATCATCATTTCAACCAGCCTTCATTTCTCAGATTAAATAAGCACAGACCCCAGAGCCTGGGTATTACACCAGTGTTACTGCAGCCATGGCTGACATTAAAGACATTTAAAATGCAGGAGTGACAGCCAAATAAAAGTTTAAGTGACACAGGAACTTATGCAAGACACTAAATTACTGGGCAGCTGTTAGTTACAAGAAGCTTTAGGAAGCTTGCTCTGCATGCAGGGGTTCAGTTGCAAGTATCTTCCAATTTATTGTTTTTTTTTTAGTTTTTTTGACAATCACACAATCTTTCAATATTTGACAATATTTGAAAACCTTTCCTCTAGCATAAAGAGAATCTCAATGCTACATATCTGCATGTATCTGAATTGCTTAGCTTACGCCCCAAAACACACAAACTATATGGGTTTTATTATCTTTCTTTTCTGTAGTACCAAGAAATCAGCAGCATTTGCACTGCTCTTGACTGGTTCTTGCCTGGTGCTACCTTAATGTCAGCACTGCTAGTGAAGTGCCCCCTTAGGTCACTTAGTTAAAAAAAAAAGAAATCAAATGACTGCTTGCTCTAGCAAAATGAACAAAACCACTGCTTGCATTGCTACCCTGTTATTTAATTAGCAAGGAACTTATGTGGACACCTATTTAAGCAAGCTGCAACTACTTCAAAATACTTCAACTACTTTAAAACTTGCATTATCACTACCTAGGACATTATTTGTGCAAGCAAATAACCTTCTGCAGCAAGCTAAAGGAGAAATCAACCAACCAAAGAGCCAAGACTTGAACCCACATGTTCAGACTCTTACTTTAGGTCTCAGCCCTCCTGGTCCTGTCTAGTCTGCAGTTAAAAGCTGGTGGCACTAAGGAACAGAGCTGAGAAACAATGCCTTGCTTTCCATTCATCAGGAATTCTATTTTTCTCACATTCAAGGAATTAATAAACATTCAGGGCAGTCAACTAGTTTATTACAGTGGCTTTCTGGAGGAAAAGTAATGATGATAAAACAGGGAAACCTCATTATTATTTATATGCTTGCTCTGTGCATTTTCACATTTAAGTACTTGTTCCTAAAAGGCTCTCAACCTCAGCGTACCTCTTCCTTTGCCTCTGTTCCTTCTCCTGAATACTATGAACTAGATTTAAGGACTTCCCTATTCAGACCCCACTCAAAGCCTATGTTCAGCAGCATTCATAGTAACACATCACCTTCAGTACCCTGTGTCTTCCTACAACTTTTCCATGTGGGTAAAATATTACAGAATCATAGAATCAACCAGGTTGGAAAAGAACTTTAAGATCATCAAGTCCAACTGTTCCACCAGCACTGCCAAGGCCACCACTAAAACATGTCACTGAGGGCCTCATCTACATGTCTTATGAATACTTCCAGGGACAGTGACTCCACAGCTGCCCTGAGCAGCCTGTTCCAATGCCTGACGACCATCTTTGTGAAGAAAACTACCTCGCAGGTAATTGTAGAGAGTGATAAGGTCCCCCCTGAGCCTTACCTTCTCCAGACTAAACTCCCCAGTTCCCTCAGTCATTCCTCATCACACTTGTGCTCCAGGCCCTTTACCAGCTCCGTTGCCCTTCTCTGGACCCGCTCCAGCAGCTCAATGTCTCTCTTGTAGTGAGGGGCCCAGAACTGAACACAGGATTTGACGTGCAGCCTCACTAGTGCCCAGTATAGGGGGATGATCACTGCCTTGGCCCTGCTTGGCCACACTACTTCAGCTTTATCAGCTATAGCTTTTTCAGCTATATCAAATCTACAACCAGATCTTTTGAATCAACTAGAAAGCATTTATCATGGTGTTGGCCATTTAAGACTATTCCTATCCCTTGAATGTCACCATTCAGTTAATAAATGCAAACCATAGCTTGACAAAAGGATATGAAATAAAATGACCTGCTATTGGCCCAGGCATAAGTCACAGCTGCAGGTGCTTATGACTAAAACCTGTGTCGAGACCAGTGTCAGTACAGCCTGCACCCACATCACACCAAACTGCTGCTTCGCAAAAATAGAAGGGTTTTTTTGGACAGGGGTCAGAAAATTGCAACCTGAGTTACAAGTGTCTAACCTGTATCCATCTTTGCATTTTGGACAGTATTTCTCTAATGACACTGAAAATCATCTGCTTCAGTTGGGTAGCTGCTGTTTAGAGCAGTAAATGAGTGAAAATGGACAGCACAGTTTGGCAAATAGAACCCCCCAATGTTTTGATAAGTATTTCTTAATGAAAATTAAGTTTAGTCTTCACCACTCCAGAGGCCTTTAAGGGTTCTCTAGTAAAAAAACAGCAGTTGGAAATGACACTAAATTCGGACTGGCACCAAAAAGTCCACCTCTAGAACTGAACAAAGTCACTAATCTTTTACCCTGCATTAGTGTTTTCTTCAGCTCTTCATGTTGGCTTATTAGGATTGGCATGACAACTTGCTATCAAATGCTGATGTTGGAAAGATGTGCAACTTTATTATTCCAAAGGAAATTCAATTTAGAGAAGCAGCACAATTTAGAAGTTTTATAAAGCATCTTATTTGCTATTTTCATAGGAATGTTGTTTTTTACATCTATATCATAAATAAATTGAGATCCACAGACCTCAGTGTTCCTGAAGATAAGCCAACGCTGCTGATGTGTGGTAGCTGCTGTCACAGTGGATATCTCTGTGGTATGCCAAGACAACAAATACCATACTCCAAGGTCTGACTCACTGAATTACATCTTCCTGCTCTGTTTTGTTTTGGGTTAAATCATAGAATCATAGAATAGTTAGGGTTGGAAAGGACCTTAAGATCATCTCTGATATGGTCAGCGTTATCTTTAAAATCCATTAGAATTTCAGTTAGAGCATAAATACAGAGCTCAAGTGATACGCTGTTTGTCAGTCACACATGGCAACAGAAGCCATACATGGTGCATAAGCCTGAAACATAATCCTGTGTTGAGATCACTGTCAACAGACACCCTGTACCTAAGCCTGCTCAAAACTGTGCGCTTCCTCACAGAAATCAAGGCTTTCTGCTTTCAGAACCTTGTAACTGCAGTAAAATAATACATGGGCACTGAAGATTTGCTTGGCTGGAATTAACAGCCTGCTGATTTCTTAGAGGTAAAATCCTCAACACACAGAGTATGATACAAAATGTGCTCTGATAAGCCTGTTAAGGTGTTATTTCAGACATGAAAACATGAGTAAATTAATTCCAATTTTGATTTTATAGATTAGTACAAGTGTTAGTGTGCATCGCTCACTGAAGTTAACTCAGGGCACCTGCAACAAGGCCACGATATTCTCAAAGGCATTAATTTAAAGCCATACACCCGTGGTATTTCAGACTCAGCGCAGTCTTTCTTCTTTCCAAGTTCTCTGCTTATCAGATATCACAATCCACTGGGTTTTGTTCTTCAAGATTTGCTTTTCAGGTCAAAGACTTGACGAATGACTTCATTAACCACTAATGCTACATGGCTGAGTAACTCTGACCTTCTCGACACAGGAAAACAATCTTGTCTCCTTGCCTCTAAAACCTCCACCTACTTAAAAATAAATATAATCTAGTATGATTAGAGACAAGTAACATGTAGGAGTGTGCCAAGTTGGGTTCAGTCCAACATCTTTCCAATTAACTGCAGAAAGCTCGCAAAGAGGAAAAAGAAAGCTGAGGATGTCTCACATCTACTGCAACACCATAAACCACGTTTGGACGTGTTTCCGAAGATATCACTTGAGATGTTTTAAAGCAATACTTTTTCTTCCAGTGTGGAAAGGTCTTACATCCCACTGCTAACATTACTCTTTTCCACTCTGGAAAACACAAGTTTGTTGCATGGAAGCACTCTTGTCTGGCTGGACCCACGATCCCTTATCTTACATCTTTGCAGGTGCTTTGAACTAACTTTTCAGGAGAGCACTCAGGAGGTGTTACACAGCAATCAGATGCTGGGATTGCTGCGCTGCTTCTCCTGCCCCAGCAGCAGCCATAAGGACAGCCTCGGAAACAATAACCAGCCAAAAAAACCAAGAAATGAGCAAAGTGCAAAGATTCAAATGGTTGAACCTACCTTCTGGGAGATGCAATACTGCAAACAGGAGGGGTGCAGTGGGTATGGAATTGACAGAAGGAGAATGTGTAAGGAGAAAGACAAAAAAAAAAAAGATAGAAAAGATCAGTGATTTCCTACATCCATGCCAAAGTGAAGGGAAGGAGCCTGGAGAGAAACTAACACAGTGAGGTTTGATTCGAATCACCAGGCATGAGAAAAAGCGACAGACAGGATAAAACATTTTCTATTTCTAGGTTCTTCCCCCCCCCCCCCCCCCCTTTTTTGCTATCTGCTTGTAGAATGAACAATTCATCATCTCCTTGCACAGCCCAAACACATCTGGACAAGGGAACTCATGTCTAATCAAACACCAGTGATGATCTGAACTCTACCCAATGTGATGTCCCAGGGCCTAATGGCCTTGTAATATTTGGGACTAACAGAGTCTCTTCTAAGAGATGAGCAAAATAAAGCACAAGTTAATTGTAAATCAAACTGTGAGTCTAAATATAAACTGTTGGAAAAGAGTTGCGGGAGCTTTACATGTATTTAGGCATATGGAAGAGGTTCAGCTGGCATTTACATTATTTTATAGGCTAAAGTCTGCTACATATGTATCTGCTTGCAACCACTGTAACTAACAACACAATTGGCTGTAAGATATATCACTGGCTGGTACCTTTTGATTTTTGAAGATTTGGAGAAAATGAAACTGTCCCTCTAGAACACCAAGTTCCATACATCACACCCACTGATCCCAGCAGATTTCCAGAAGTCATCCTCCCTTCAGAGGTCAGAACAGTTGATAAACTGTTCAACACTTCAACTTTGATTTAAAAAACAGCTGGGAGAAGTCTTCTGCAGTCACAGAAGGCCTTGGGAGAACCAGAACATCTCTACAGCACCAGCATTTACAAGCAAGTACATATGCACTTGGCAAGATGCTGATTTTGTTTAGATTAATGCATTCATGACTTTCCTATCTACATGGAGATGTCTTTCACACTGGAGCAGGATTTCATTTACCAGCTTCACAGCTGTTTTTTCCTCCCCTCATTTCTGAAAAGAAATTCTGATCATGCAGTCACCTTTTGAATCACTATCCTCACTCTTCTCTTCCATAGCTCCTTCAAAATCATTATTTCTAATGGTACATGAGCCTGTCACAAAACAGGACAACTCCTGCCTATGATTAATATACTCTGGACTTTCAGCAGACCTGCAGCCAAACTAATTTTCAAAGTAACCTGTAAGTAAGACTCACTTCTTCCTTGCTCTATTAAAATAACTCCCCAGTTAAGCAAACTTTTCCCAGCTGACAAGTGTTTGCCTACTTACACTGCAGAAGCTGCTGAATTCACAGTCCTCGGCAGAATGAAATTGATATTTTATATAAATAATCTCATATTTTAAAATTATTTTTCACATTTTTGGGGTACTTTTCCTCTGAGTACACTATCAGTGTTCCCCCAGCTTCGCTAACAGATCTTTTGGTTAAAAACAGCCTGTGAAAGACACTTCTGAGATCTAATACTTGCAATTAACATGTAGCTGTAAGAAGCAATTATGAATTAATCACTAAGCTATGAGAAAGTGTGTTGTTTCTCTTGTATCACAACATTTCAGTTACACTTCTTGTTACAATCCTTAATTGTAACGCTTAATTTTGCGGCTGCAGATTCCCCTGCAGAGATCAAAGATCAGCAGATACACCAGCACAAACTGTGTCCCCAGCAGTCACCCAGGGCTGACTGACCAACTGCTCACCACGCTGGGCAGTCTCCTGAGGTCACCTGGGCTGTCTGCAGTGAAAGCCCTACCTCTTCTGTTTGACTGTGATGCCCTTCTGCTGCAAAGCCTTCTCATTGGCCATCTGCAGCAGCTGGATCTCCTTCCGTGAGAAAAGGCGGACAGCAAAGGCCTTTTCCAGCAGCTTCTCTGGAGGCACCGACTTGGCAATGTCCCTCACAAATACTCGGATGTCCTGCTGTATGCTGTCAGACTTCATGGGCTGCCCAGCTCTGACTTTGCGAAAAATCTTTAGAAGAGCCAGTGCCACGCGATAGAGAACTTTGTAGCCTTCCACCAGGAACACATCAAAGACCCGAGCGATATACACCATGGGCAGCTCTCCGAAGAGCCATCGCTGCCAGTCAGAGTATACCTCCAGCACGTCCTCAGACACTGCCACCATCAGCTTATGCGCTGCCTGACAGTACTTGTTTGCCAGGTCTCCAAAGGTCATGCAAGATGACTCGAAAGCCAAGAACGTCTGGTCAATGAGCCGCTTGGATGGGTCATTGCAAGCAAGGATGCGACAAACCTGCTCAAAGCACTCAGCCTCATCCTTGCTGTAGTGCAGGAGCAAAGCAACCACTGAAGGCAGTGCTGGGCAAAATGAGATATCTGGGAACTGATTCGCAATGCACAGGATGATCTTCCTGACCGCCCCGATACCTTCTGCGTTCAAGCAGTATGTGGGGACCAGGGTGTCATCCACGAACTCTGGCAAAGGAAGGGAGCTACCACTGCGCTTCCCAATGATCTTCACCACAATGTCTCGGTACACGTTTGCATCCGGGGTGACTGTACGGCATGGGATATTGCTGAGAAGCTTGTGGTACACTTTGGCTCTCAGGGAGTGGTTCTTGGCCCAGTAGCCTTGGCGGGCCAGCTGCTTGAGCTCTGAGAGCTCGGGGCAGGTCAGCTCCTTCACATCGTGGCTCTGCAAAGAACTGTCCATCTTGTCCCAGTCCACAAAGTGGCTGTATTCATCCATGGCTCCAGGAGAAGCAAATCAGAACTCATGAGAATGGAGATGCAATTTAGTCATCAAACGACTTGCAGCTTTTGCTGCAAAAGTAAAAAGAGAGAAGTCTGACTAACAGGTAATCTCCCATTTTCTTTAGGAGTATACACATACATTTAACTTGTTCCTGCAATGCCAAAACTGTTTTCTAAAGCAAAGAAAGTTAAAGATACATGCCCTTTTATTTTTTAAGTCAAGTTTTACTTCCATTCCTCCAGTAACACTTAAGTAATTTATCAGTGGCAACCTAAGAGGCTGATGGTGAGGACATCTCTCCCGAGGAAGTGAATTCTGTAACTGAAGGTCCAAGCTGAGACATAGATCTTTACGTTAACTTCCCACTTTGAGAACAGAAGACTCCCACTTCCAAAATACCTGTAAAGTCTGATCAATTTGCAATTGCTCCTCCGAATTCTCTGGGGAAGTAACTGTTACTTGACGTACAAGGATGCAGTCTCAGCCTCACGAGCAGCTTTCACTGTCCTAATATGGTGTGGCCAGTGCCAAGAAACACTAGACCTCCTGCTAGCCACAGCCGTGTATTCTTGGCCGTTTCTTTGTGCTGGTGCTAGCATTTGTGTGGCCACACAGTCACTGAGATCGTCAGCCTGGTTCAGTTTTTCTTTTCCATTGGATAAGATGCATAGCTGTCTGGTCAGCCAGATCATGGCATCTTCCTTCTGACTGCTTACAAATGTGACTGAAAACACCCCTCAGTTAGATCTTCCCTGAAAATCATAGCACTGAGGGGTTAAGAATTAAGTACATAGTCTTTCAAATGGAAGGCTCCTAGAACTATTTATATCAATACAGAAACGAAAGATATCCAAACCTGAACAATACTTTAGGAAAGAGTTAAAAATGAACCACACATGACAAAAGTGACTGTTCCAAGCCAAGTTGGACAGGCCTTTGAGAAACCTGGTCTAGTGGATGGTATCCCTGCCCATGGCAGGGGTTTGGAACTGGATGAGCTTTAAGGTCCCTTCCAACCCAAACCACTCTGTGGTTCTATGAAGCAGACCACCTTTTCTAGCTGTCTACAGGCTCGTCAGCTTAAAACAGTTTCATTAAACTGCTTCTGCACTTGCACACACGCTGATCAAACCACCCTCTAGAGGGCCTGCTGCCACCACAATTAAATCTTACAGATTCATGCCTCTGCAATAGCACCAGCAGCTGAAAGATCAGGTTCTGGCCTCCAGTTCCTCAAACTGCATGTTTACATGATCTCCTAGTTGGCTCCAGCTTTAAAGTACACCTGTGTCCCAGCAGAGAGAAGGACTCCAACCACTAATGGCCATGAATGAGCTATAACCAAGTCAGTGCAAAGCTAGAAGGGAGATTCAATAAAAGTGAATGAATAACAGCAAGCAATGCATTTACCCAGCGCTGGAACATCCATGCCAACGTGTCCTCAGAGCCACAGTAAAGCTGGGAAGCACAAGGCAGCTGGTGCTGCACACTCTGCAAAGGCAGAGAATCCCTATAAACCACAACCGGCCTATAAAACTGTTTTGTGCAATTAAGACATTATATAGCAAGGTTAAATCAACAAAAACACATGCTGAAATGCTTCTGAAGAACTTTAAGTTATTCTTGTGTCAACAGACTGCAGAATGCGTGGCCTTGACGTTTATCAGACTGGTCTTTCATACAAGAAGTGCATTAGAATGATTTGAAACTCGTAAGGTAGATATCCTCCCTACTTCATTGCAGGAGACTAAACCAAACATTTTGTCTCAAGCAGAGAGGAGTTCATACACATACAACTTGCATTAGCTTGGATGGTTATATATTTAATCAGGACAGTTTAAGATTCTGACTAAATATTAATCTGGGTACTCTGGAATCACACGCTGAAACTCCAAAATATAATTCATCACTTAAAAGGCTGGCAACAACACACATTTCAGTCAACTTTTGAATGGCTCTTCTCTACCAAATATCTACTGTTTCTTTTTTTTTTGTTTTTTTTTTTATAAAAAAGATTTTTTTTTTTTAGTTCATTTTTGTACCAGTCAAGAGGAATACAGTCATGCTTACCATGCTCACCACTTCTTTTTGGTGTATTCCTCCATATCTGAAATTACTTTTCAAACTGCAATTAAAGGAGGCAAGACATTGTCCTGACTTCAGTTCTAGCAGTAAGATATGTTAGGATGTTGAGGAAAGATGCACCTCAGTGTGAGCTGAGAGCACGTGCTCTGGATACGCAGACAGTAACGGCAGGATACCAGTCCTTTGCAGAGTCAGTGTCAGCTCCATAAAAGTTAACATTCTTCTGTCATTCTCCACCTGGGCATCATAGGGAAACACATGATTTTGAATTCGAATCCTAGAATAAGATCCTTGTGGGAAGAGAAATTTAATCATATTTAGCAGCGGTCAAAGCATGGAGAGATGAACCATTCTGTTCATGGCTACTTCCGTATAGGAACTGTTTCTATCCTGGGCTTGCTGGAGTCTCTCCACTATGCAACAGTTTCCCCCTTCTGCCATCATACCTTGGGAACTGCTTATATTTATATCAAGGAGGGTTAAGAAAAATATCCATCATACGAGACAACTTCTAAGCTCCTCAGAATTACATCTCCACTGTGCTTTTTTCTGTAAACCTTTGTCTCCTTCCTCCTTACTCTTTCCTATTTTCTACCATTCAGAGTCACAAGCATATCTGAAGTTTGCATTTAGAGTAATTTTTCCCTCTGGAAGTTACTGCCCTCTCCAGAAACTAATGAATTTGAAGAGTATGTGCTCCTCGGCAAGCTCACTGAAGTCTGTGAGCTAGAAGATGGAAGTCAGACTGCCAAAACTTTTGATTTGAGCTTACAGTTTTCCACAGCTGGGTAAGGCTGCTGGGCCTGCAAGTAGGTCTGGGTGCTTCTGCTTTTCAAAGCTCTCAATGCTGCAAGACAAAAATGTCAGCAAAGCAAATGGGCATTGCCAAGGTTGGCAGAGCATGACAAGCCCTTAAGTGTGCTTGCAAATCCAACAGAATTACTGTGCTTCAGTGTAATGGTGCATAGCTCCTGACTCTCCGCCAATAGCTACTGTAAGCCAGCAGGCCTCAAACGGGAAGTACTTACTTGCCAGGGGAGAAGAGCCCAAGAAATCGCAGGAAGATTCCAGCCAGATTACATCTCCTCCTCCCACTCCGGAATCCTCCTCTATCCATCCCTCTGGACAAGCTCTCTCTGTTCTGGCAGCCATGTAAAGAGCAATTGTTTAATTTGGAGCTGATGGGAAGAGGAGACAAAAGTTGCCTCCTGTTCAGTAGCAAAAGGGTAGCTGGTCAGGGCTGTCTCCTACCCATCTCTCCTACCCCAGGGGAGCAAGCAGGCAGTACAAACTGCTATTATTTGGAGGGATGGAAGGGTGGAGTGTCAGTTAAGGTGTGAAAATAGGCAAGAACGGCTGTATAAGAGCGCATGTCAGAAAGTCCCACCTTCCCAGAATCATAGAATAGTTAGGGTTGGAAAGGACCTTAAGATCATCTAGTTCCAACCCCCTGCCATGGGCAGGGACACCTCACACTAAACCGTATCACCCGAGGGCTCTGTCCAACCTGGACTTGAACACCCTGGGCAACCCACTCCAGTGCCTCACCACCCTCACAGTAAAGAACTTCCTCCTTATATCCAATCTAAACTTCCCCTGTTTCAGTTTTAACATGTTACACCTTGTCTTATCACTACAGTCCCTAACGAAGAGTCCCTACCCAGCATCCTTATAGGCTCCCTTCAGACACTGGAAGGTCTCCACGCAGCCTTCTCTTCTTCAGGCTGAACAGCCCCAACTTTCTCAGCCTGTCTTCATACGGGAGGTGCTCCAGTCCCCTGATCACCCTCGTGGCCCGCCTCTGGACTTCTTCCAACAGTTCCATGTCCTTTTTATGTTGAGGACACCAGAACTGCCCACAATACTTCAAGTGAGGTCTCACGAGAGCGGAGTAGAGGGGCAGGATCACCTCCTTCAAACCTGCTGGTCATATTCCTTTTGATGCAGTCCAGGATACGGTTGGCTTCCTGGGTTGCGAGCGCACACTGAAGCCGGCTCATGTTCATTTTCTCATCAACCGACACCCCCAAGTCCTTCTCCGCAGGGCTGCTCTGAATCTCTTCTCTGCCCAACCTGTAGCTGTGCCTGGGATTGCTCCGATCCAGGTGTAGGACCTTGCACTTGGCATGGTTAAACTTAATCAGGTTGGCATCAGCCCACCTCGCAAGCGTGTCAAGGTCCCTCTGGATGGCATTCCTTCCCTCCAGCCTATCAACTGAACCACACAGCTTGGTGCCATCGGCGAACTTGCTGAGGGCGCACTCAATCCCACTGTCCATGTCAGCGACAAAGATGTTGAACAAGACCGGTCCCAACACTGATCCCAAAGGGACACCACTCATTACTGGTCTCCAACCGGGCATTGAACCATTGACCACAACTCTTTGTGTGCGGCCAGCCAGCCAGTTCTTTATCCACCGAGTGGTCCATCTATCACTCTGATGTCTCTCCAATTTAGAGACAAGGATGTCATGTGGGTCAGTGTTGAACGTTTTGCACAAGTCCAAGTAGATGATGTCAGCTGCTCTACTCCTGTCCATCAGTTCCGTAGCCCCATCATAGAAGGCCACCAAACTGGTCAGGCAGGATTTCCCCTTAGTGAAGCCATGCTGGCTGTCACCAAGCACCTTGTTGTTTTTCATGTGCCTTAGCATGCCTTCCAGGAGAATGTGCTCCAAGATTTTGCCAGGCACAGAGGTGAGACTGACTGGTCTGTAGTTCCCCGGGTCATCCGTTTTCCCCTTCTTGAAAATGGGGGTTGTATTGCCCTTTTTCCAGTCATCGGGAACTTCACCTGACTGCCATGATTTTTCAAATAGGATGGCCAGTGGCTTAGCAACTTCATTTGCCAGCTCCTTCAGGACCCGCGAATGGATTTCATCGGGTCCCATGGGCTTGTGCACATTCAGATTTTTAAAATGGTCATGAACCAGATCCTTTCCTACAGTGGGCCCAAGGTCTTCATTCTCACAGTCCCTGCATCTGCCTTCCAAGACTTGGGTGGTATGTTAGGAGCATTTGCCAGTGAAGACTGAGGCAAAGAAGTCATTAAGAACCTCAGCCTTCTCCAAATCCAGGGTAGCCAGGTCTCCTGATATCTTCCGGAGAGGGCCCATGTTGTCCCTAGTCTGTCTTTTATTTGCAGTGTGCCTATAGAATCCCTTCACATCCCTAGCCAAGTTTAATTCTAACTGGGCCTTAGCTTTCCTTTCCTGGTACCTAGCTTCCCAGACAGCAGCTCTGTATTCTTCACAGGCTGCCTGTCCTTGCTTCCACTTTTTATAAGCCTCTTTTTCCCTTGAAGTTTCCTCAGCAGCTTCCTCAGCAGCACCGTATCCATCCAAGGAGGTCTCCTGGCCCTCTTGCTGCACTTAAGTGCCTTCACCTTTCACATATAAAGAATGGGTAAGACACAGGCAGAAGAGAAAAAAATATTCCAGAACAAAATGTTTGTATAAAGACATGTATAAAGATGAGCAGAGACCCATTTATACAATCTTGTTGCAACAACCCTCTCTCCCTCTAGCTAAAGTAACTTTACAGAAGCTAGCATCATGCTGTGGGAAGTACCTTTCAACTGGACACAGGATCAACAGTATGGATCAGCACCTGAACTGCACAGAACTGAAACGCTTTCAAGTACCTGTTAGAATACAACTATACAGGATTGTAAAAATTATCAAAAAGTTTACATTACTCATAACAACAACAAAGCTTGAAAGTTGTGCATACCTTGCTTAAGGGGAAGCAGTTATCCTTTCTGATCAGACTTACAGAACAGTAGGGATTAACACACAATAACAGAACCAGGAGAAAAAGCCTTTTTTCTTAAGAACCACTACAACATTTTGAGATTGTCAGGTCTCCTGGTCTATAATGGAGCTCTTCAGTGTAACATAAAAACCAACCCATGCAAGTGAGAAGTAGAACTAGAAAAATGCTATTAAAGATGTGCCAGAAACAGCTGCAAAGCAGGAAAGATTTCTCAAGGTTAAGTTTAAACTATGAAGGAAAGCAAGTAATCACTAGAATTGAAACCCAAGCAATGGCCATGGCAACTGAACTGGCAGGATTTCAAGCCAGTGACTGAACTGTTAGGAAATATTCAGCTTGCTAGAATGGCCACATTTTCCATTCCATTCCCTTACTTCTCCCCATTGTAATTTCGGCAACTTTCAGGAGACAGGCAAAAACCGCACTGAATTTGTAGGGAATGTGCAGCAGAAACCAGGGTGAAAGTCAAATTCTGATATTGCTTGAGACGAAAAACTCTATCAAAGTGTCCAAAAATATATCAGCAGGAAAAGAGAAGATGTGAATGGCAACTTACCTTCATTATGGGAAAGATAAAGCCACAATTTTATTGAGGATAACGTGGCTAGGGACAACTTTGATAATTTTTCTTTGCTTTCCAAAATGCAGAAATTGGCTGACTGAAATACCTGAAGCACAACAACTCAGAGCACAATTGTTGCTTTCAAATCCAGAGTACCTGCAGCACTCCATAGCAGTGAAATATCTACATCCTAATCTTAAATGTAAATTCCAACTTTGGTAAAACCTGAGATTTGATACTGCTGTTAATAAACACAAGAGAGTTTCCTAAAAAACCAAATCACAGAATCCCAGACTGGTTTGGTTTGGAAGGGACCTTAAAACTCACCCAGTTCCAACCCCCTGCCACAGGCATGGACACCTTCCACTAGACCTTATAATTAATCAGGAAAACTTTGTCCCCTGTTCCATTTAGGTGCTCTTGAAACTTTGTGTCCTGGAAGTTTGACTAGAGATTAACATCTTATTAAGAAACTTCATGCAAATCTAGTGTAGGTGCTCTATAACAAGAACCCTAAACCTTTGAAAATACCATTTACTCTTACCCATGGACAGTTACCTTGGATTCAGGTATTTGTACTGGACAGATACAGATGGAGACTGACAACCAAATGGTTGGCATGCATTTTTAAAAGGTGCGAACAGAAAGCAGGTATCTTCTTTTCCTGCCCTACAAATCAAGACTAATGCTGAAATCCCAGACCTGCAGGATACTATTTGCTGTTTATACTGTCAAGCAGTGATGCAGCCAGGGAAAAGGCTCACACCTCCTCTTTCATAACCTCATTAAACTAATCCTTGCAGAAGCCACATAGATAATGAGAGCTGCTTCCTCAAGCCTGCTGGCTATTAGTCCTCATTGCAGCAAAGGAAAATGAAACCCAAACCTGAGTAGAGGATTCCTCATCCTTGAGGAATACTCAATCATGTCCAAGATGTTTGCTTCATACACCAAAGAATCTGACAGAAGAACAAAGCAACACAGCAAGACAGTAATAACTGCAGAATAAAAGACAATGAGCAGACAGTTCCTCCCTTCTCCCCCAGTACTTCAGTTCGTTCTGTGGCTCTCTCTCACTCCAGCCCTACAGCAGCACACCTTGACATCTCTGCTCTATGGATACGGAAACACAACTGGACACCATGGTGCTGTCCTCCCTTTCCCAAACACCTCCTGACTGGAAGTGCGTTTTGCCACATTTACAGCTCCAGTTACTTCCCATGCCACGTATCACTGAGGAATATGTGTGCATCAGAGCCAAAGTTAAGCACCCCATTTAGCATCAGAAAACGCTGAACACAACTACCTCATCAGGTGTAGAAGAGCAATCTGGACTACAGTGATGCATTCCCGAGTGATCATCGTTTTTGGTAGAGCACACAGAGTTCATGGATTGCTTTTAATGCCATTAAATGCAGTTGGATCCCTAGGATTTGCCCTGGGCACTGTGTGCAGCACAAGCTGGGTGCCAGGAATACGATTCTGGATAATGTTCTAATACTAATTTACCAATAACAATGGGGGGTTAGTTCCTGCTCCCTCCTGGGTGTTTTAAATACCCTTACGGGATAAAGTCGAGAAACCTCTCCCTTTCCTGAGTAACTGGTAAATGCCTGACATCAGAGTACACTACAAGGCAAGCCATTTTAGGCATCTAGATGATTTATCTTGGGATGTCACTGCTGCATATGATGGTCTGTACTAGAATCCCATGCTTTCATTCTTAGGAAAGTACTATTGTCTTCTTAAGCATGGTCTTTAAATCACCTGTGATTAATCTACCATGTACTTTACTAGTCAAAAGTTCAGACACACAATGAGCTCTTCTCTGCAGGCCATATAAACAACAGTAGCTTATATTTAGGAGACTCTGTATCCCTTACATCTGCAAGCACTTCAGTAGAAAGCAGCACCCCCTCCTCCCCATCCCCTGTCCTGAGATGACATGAGCACTTCTGAACATAGAATCATAGAATAGTTAGGGTTGGAAAGGACCTTAAGATCATCTAGTTCCAATCCCCCTGCCATGGGCAGGGACACCTCCCACTAAACCATGTCACCCAGGGCTCTGTCCAACCTGGCCTTGAACACCACCAGCGATGGAGCATTCATGCTGATCCCGTGAGCTGTACTGACCATTGAAATGCCACAGAGGTCCCAAATACCCACACAGACCCCAAATAAGATAAAGTCTGTGGAAATGCTTACTGAAAAAAAAAAGAGAGAAAATAAATGGTTAATGGTTCTACAAAGGGCCAAAAAGGCTAAAGAACAGAGCATTGTAAGAGGATATTGAGTGGTAAATACTGTCAAAGACATAGATCTGGAGCTTTCTGTCCTGTCTATATCTTAAAACCCCCAAGGATCAACTAGTAAAATTAAAGAGGAGAATTGCTATCTTCTCCCCCTCTGAACAAAAACACCATTTCATAATGAAAAAATAATCAATGTAGAATTCCAAACTAGCTGTCCATTATTTTGACTACAACTTTAAAATCAAAATGCCTTCATAATAACAGACGTGCTGCTGAGGTTATAATCTTACTTTTAGTGTATATTGCTAATCTCTAGTTTTACTGGAGGGGAAAGACTTTGGGAAAACTAGTTCTGTTAGAAGGCCAGTAAGATAGTTAAGAGCCCAGAGCACATGTAAGAGGGGGCTTATATATATGCTGATGGGGTTTTTCACCCACATGCCTGTTCTGAGTAAACCTAAAAAGACTTAATGTATCTGACATGCCTACTCCTCTGTCTAGTGTCACTGCACTGGCCGATGGATTCAAAGCCTCTCAACTGGAGGAGAGGACTCACAGGCATACTGAAAAGTGAAGCAGGGGCAGGAATCTTGTCTCCATACAGAACCAGATTACCAAAACCTATCCAAACAAAACAAAGAACTCCAACAGTCCTCCACAGCCCCCACATTGGCATGCTTTTATTAATCCTTACCTTAAGACTAGTCCTTGTATAGATCTTCTCATGACTTACTCCCTTCTGCTGGGCCTGTTGGTGCAAAACATAAAAATCAGACTGTTTTTAAATAGCGCACGGGACAATATCCATGTGCATTAGGCACCACTGACCTCCACACCTTTAAAAAGCCCGAAGGTATCAGTCTGCACTTCTGCATGGCTTCCAACCTCCATACTTGCAATCATGGTATAGAGAACAAGATGACAAATATCCTCACAACAGAGAAGAGCAGATAAATAACCACATTATTAAAGTGCTTACACACAAACAAGTAATTTCTGTCTCTAAAAACACATGCAGAATTACTGCTTGTGGCACCTTTCTCATAAATAACTTCAGCTAATCTCATTGTACCTTACTGCTGCGTTCCCCTCAGTTTTACTGTGAAGTAAACAACTCTCATTAAACACGCAGCTTCTGGAGCAGGTCTCTCCTCCTGAGACTAACAGGGGTATCTGCTGCACAGCGAGGGCATTTCAGACCCCAGCTCTGCAGCTTTCACTATTTAGATCCCCAGTTATGAAAAAAAAACCCATAACCCAACTATATTCTGAAGATCTGCAGTGGAGAGTGGATTTAGCTCAGCTTACTTGCTGAGGGTTAGTAAAACAGGCCCTTGTCCTGTTAGGTACAAATGTTTGAACTAATTTGATGAACATTATTTTTCTTTGCAAATGAATGATACTCAGTTCAGCAGATTTTCAAATAACCCAATTTTAGTTTGCTGCAAAATACAGTCATTACAACTTCGTGTTAATTCTCCCTTTAGTTGTTTTTCCCTGAAAAACGTAACAAAATAATTCACTGTTGGTGCAGCTACACCAAAGTACATAGACCTCACAGCAGCTTTCCAATATCTGAAGGGCCCTAGAAGGTGCCAGAGAGGGACTCTTCATCAGGGACTGTAGGGATAAGACAAGAGATAATGGGTTTAAACTGAAACAGGGGATGTTCAGGTTTAATGTAAGGCAGAAGCTCTTCTCTGTGAGAGGGGTGAGCGCTATCACAGGTTGCCCAGAGAAGCTGTGGCTGCCCCATCCCTGGCAGTGTTCAAGGCCAGGTTGGACGGGGCTTGGAGCAAGCTCCTCAAGTGGAAGGTTAGTGGAAGGTGTCCCTGCCTGTGGCAGTGGGGTTGGAACTGGATGACCTTAAAGTCCCTTCCAACCCAAACCATTCTATGATTCTATGGAAGTTACACCTATGGGCTAACATAATGTAGACTCCAAGTACAATTAAGCATCTTCATTAATGCAGACACTGGCAAGCTATGAGATTTGAGCCTCTTTCCTGAGTCAGTGAGAATAAATAACGTGGTCTTTTGTGATGTGTCTAAAAGCTCAGGTAATTATCTTCTAACTTTAAACGTTATGCAAGAGGAGAATAAATGAGATATGGTAAAGTCTAAAAGCATGAACACCACAGCTAGGAGCACTTTCATATGTTAATCTAATTTAAAACAGTTGATTCCACAGCTGGACATCTCCAGCACATACTTCCACCAATACACATGGACTTCAAGCAAGTCAATCATTAATACAGTGCAATTAAATCTATTTTTATATCAGAAAGAGCACGTGACTGACTGGGCAAACACTAGAAGTGCAAATGGCTGGAGATCAGCATCAACCAGACAAATACCACTGCACCCCTGCCACAACACACCGCATGCAAATGTGTCAGGATACTGCAAATTAAACCTGACAATAAAGGAATCCCCAAACAAGAAGACATTCAAAAGAAACTCTGGTTCTTTGGCTCTCAGTCACAATTCAAGGTTATGTATAGATGGCCTAGAAATAGCTATTTTGCTCTCAAATCATTAACACAGTTTATCTATTTTGAGTGTTACCATACAGCATGCATTCAAGACAACCTAACATCACTGTTGTAACAGCTTCTCCAACGTAACAGGCAGGGCAGGGTATATCCTAAAGAGCCAGAAGAACAGCAAGGACTAAATTTGTGGTCTGTTACCAATAATTTGCTTCCCACTAACTCAGCTTCAGCACTAAAGCAAAGGCATTAATTTGCTTGTCACTAACTCAGCTTCGGCACTGAAGCAAAGGCACTCAGGATCTAACCAAATGCCAGGGTAGCACCATCAGATCGCAATAATCTTGGTGTGAGACATGGCGAGCAACGTGGACTGTTCTGCTTTACTTGCTTGCAGGGTTGTTATAGTGCAGGAATAGCTGGTGTTTTCATTTTTCTTTACAACTTAGATTATAAGGCTGGCCAGTGAAGGATGCTCTGCAAGATTTCAAATGAACAGAATGAAGAAGCAAAGACAGCCATGGGGAGAAAACAAATGCTGCAGTAAAATGAGAGAGCTGGGAAGAGCCCAGGTGCTTAACTACATGATGGATCCACAGACAGCCTGCTAGAAACATTTACTTGGCACTATTTAATTATTAACAGCAAAAGAGAAGCAGAAAGCTGCTTTCCCTTGTGTTCACATTCTAGGTGCAAGAAGACCTGCAAACTTTCAAATATTAATGACAGAAAAGACATTCAGTACAAAGATTCCTAATCATGGTGCAACACTATCCACAATCATTTTGCACATTACAAAGGACATGTCATGTATTGCTTGGGAGCAACAAAGAGCCAACATAAAATGTCCTTGGATTAGAGTTATCAGTGCTGTTCCTACAAAGTAACTATCTTTGAGAGAAGTGTTTTGCAACATGGCCTTAACTGCTAGTGACTGCACAAAGAAATAAATTCTAACAGGGAGGGAATTCCCTTTTCTGGGAATTCAGAGCCCTGGATGTGATCCACGTCATTTCTGTGCTCTGGGTATTCCTGGATAATCTGACACACTACTGGGATTTCCTGTGAGCCAGAAAAGCTTTCAGATGCTTCAGCTTCCTGCAGGAATTGCACATAAAACCACAAGGTTTTTAGATGGTACAGTGCAATATGGAACCACCCACTTCCCTCTCATCACAGGCCCAGAGCACTGCAAGATTTCATCCACCCACGG